AATCGTGTCAATAGCAAAGCGGTTATATAATTTATTCTATTTATTTATAATATTGTGGTTCACGAGTGGTTTATTGACAGAAAATGAACACTGTGGTTTTAGAATTAGTTGAAACAATGCAATTATTTAGCAATCGCGATACAGCCAATCGAAAAGGCGACGCACAGAACGATAAACAATGCAAATAAAACAAAAAAGAAAATCAAGAAACTCGCTCTGCTGTATAATAGGTGTTGAGTGTCCCTGGTCATTGAGGTCACTATAATAGTATAATGGGTRCGCTAAATTTGAATTTAATTATGAAATATCATTGCATAGGTACAAAGAAATGATTCTGAGTGGATAAGGTCTGACAGAGTATATTATAGAACTGTCATATATTAAGTATATTTTATTAAATACCTATCTCCATTGTCATTAGTWAAATGTTTTACTATTAGCTACACGTTTAGTGGAATTACTTTTATCTAAGCTTATCAAATTGGTGTTAATTGTATCATTTATTATTAATATAGTAGGTATTTAATATTAATTATTCATGTAGTATTGTCATTAGCTTTAGAGTAAATACTAAATACTGACTTTCAGTAAATAGAACGTTGTGAATGGGTTCACAGTAGAAATAGGCTTAAAATAAATTTTAATATTTAAAAATGTAAATTGCGTGAACTTGAATAAACTTTATTACAAAAATGTTTTGAGTTACAAGGAATCATATTTTTAAATTATCACATAATTACTCTTCGTTTAAATATCCAATTTCACTAAAATTTGAACCTAAAATGTCTATACAAAAATAAATGTGATAATATATTTTATTAGAATAATTATTGGATATTGTAACAGTTACAGTACAAAATTGTATTTAAGTATGAAAATAATGAACATCAAAAGATCTAGAAAAGAGAACAACATCTAAAATAATTGTTKAAAAAAAAATTAAATGCAATCATCATGAAATCCCGCAGGACGTCCAGAACGGAATACTTTTATYATTTATAAATATCATGTTGCATTATAAATGTATTATTGTTGTTTAWTATTACTGCGGGATTATTATTATTATAATTAYTAAGGACGTGTGCACAACTTCTCCGAACGACATGCATGCTGCTAAATTGCATACTCTGAGTGCCGTGCATTGGGCCAATAATAATAATAACGGTATGACGTGAGTATACGAACAGCGTATTTGCACGATCGCCTTATAAACGATTGTYGGACATCAATCGTCGCCATAAAACCGTAGACTTTCTCACCGGGACCATACCCATTGGACACCGCCCACTCGCCAACACTCATCATCAGCAGACTGGATCGCGAGTTTCCGCGGTCATAAAAAAATAAATAAATACAATTACTATGTATTACAATATATTGTAAGCCACACAGTTGAACCCGACCAGTTCGACTCTCCTCCTTAGACCAATATAGTAATTGGCAATTTTGTGCAACGGGACGGTGATAAATAATACATATATCTCACATCCCTGAGTTTGCTTACGGACTACTGGATCGTGTAGTGAATAATATGTTTGTA